TATCCTTCTTTGGTCCTGATGTGCTTCTTGTTTTCAGTCCTTTCTATGTGGCTCGCAGGTCTGCCGCACTTGATCTTAACTTAATTTTTTATTTCTTTCGGTATGTGGCTTGTGTGTGGACGGGTTTTTGGGGTCACAGCGGCAGAGCAGAAGGGCATTGTGGGTTCCTCCTTTGAACCTCCTCAGTCTTTGATGTGTGCCTTGTTAATTCATTTTAATTCATGTGAATGGGCGCCAATGAATATGTTTGTACGCACACTGAATGTTTGTGTGCCAGTGAATCAGGCCCATGGGAACAGCAGTGTGTGCCAAGGCTTGTGTCATAAGAAGTACACAAAAAAGACTGCGCTACAGCCTCCCACTCTCATACTCCTTATCTCCCACCTCCATGAACTATTGTCCTGCATGTGTCTTTATCAGACACGGTGAAGCAGTCTCATTTCCCATGATGCCTAGCTCTTTGCACAAGAACAGCAGAGGTGTTTGGATAATTAGTCCTGGCGCTGGGTATTGTGGGTAAAGCTGTGAACTCTGTGACTTTCTAATTGATTTGGGACATATGTGTGTGTTTGGTTTTCATTTAAAAGAGATTGGCCGAATTTCTCTCTGTTTGTGTGTTTGTGTGTGTGTAGCCTGTTTGTGTAGACGACATGTCTACGCCTTCATCTCCTGTTTGGGGGAGAAAAAAACTGCAATTTTTTTCTTTAATAAAATGCATATTTTTCTAGTATTCATGTTGAACGCAATAAATAAATTTGCAGATTTTTGATTGATGTGGTGAGGTGTACATGAGGTTACTGGAAATGTGTGCAGTTGCAGAAGGAATACTTGGGTTAGATGTATTTGTCTCTGGTTTGATCTAATTGGTTTGTTAAATTAAATGTATGAGAATGGATGAACCTACGCTCATCAGCCACTTTGTTAGGTGCACTTGTTCAACAGCCCATCGGTACAGATATCTAGTCAGGACTGTGCATTTAGGTTTGAAGACATGGTCAAAGTGACCCGCTGAAGTTCAAAGCAGGCATCAGAATAGAGAATAAAGGTGATTTTTAAGTGACTTTGAACATGATATGGTCTGAGTATTTCCGAAACTGCTAATCTACTGGGATTTTCCCGCATAATCATCTCTAGAGTTTAAAGAGGATGGCCTCAAAAAGAGAAATTATCCAGTGGCCGCAGTTCTGTGAGTGAAAATGAATTGAAAAGGTCAGAGGAGAATGGAGCTTTAAATTGACAGAAAGGCAACAGCAACTCCAATAACCACTTGTTACAGCTAAGATATGCAGAGGAGCATCTCTTGTCAGCTAAGAACAGGAAACTGAGGCTACAGCTCAGTGTAATTGGTGAATATTGGAAAAAGTTGACTAATCTGGTGGGTCTTAAGTTTTCCTGTGACATTCAGACAGAATTTGCCGTGAACATAAAAGTTGGATCAATCCTTCTTTGTATCAATGGTTCAGCCTATGGGGGATATTTTCTTGGCACGCCATAGTTATCTTATTAACAGCTGACTATCTTTCAAATGCCACAAGCTACCCGAGTATTGTGCTGACCATCTTTTTATGATCAGTGTACCCATCTCCATGGTTCCACAGTCAGCAGATCTCAATTCTGCAGAGCACCTTTGGGATGTGGTGGTACAAGAGAGAAATCATGGATGTGCAGCCACTAAATCTGCAGCAACTCTGATGCTATCATGTCAATATGGAACAAAATCTCTGAGAGATGTTTCCAGCATCTTGTTGAATCAATGCCATGAAGAATTCGGATTGTTCTGAAGGCAGAAACCTGGTTTTAGGTACTAACAAGGTGTAACTAATAAAGTGGCCACTGAGGATGGCTCTATAGCAGTCCAACTGCTAAACTGACCTGCCACTAAAAATATTTAGTACATTATGAAAATTAAAATGGGACAAATTTTGCAATTAGTGATCCACAATGTGATTCTTTTTGGTCAGAAATTGCTGACATGAAATACTAGTCTCATATAAATCTCATAGCATCACAACGTCATTGGAACCCGGTGAAGCCCAAATTGCATAAAGAAACAGTGGCTGAACTGAAGTGCTGTTCATTTGTACTGGGTGGCTCAGTGGGGTGGAGTGGGTGTTCTGCCAGGCACATGGTTGGCAGTTTGACCCACAGCTCCTCCAGCCTGCATGCCTGGGTAACATACTAAACCCCAAAGTGCTCCACTGGTGGAAGAGTGTGTGATTGGAAGTAGGGCTGCCATGAGTAGTCGACTAGTCACGATTACGTCGAC